ATTTGATTTCACTTATACGTGGAATCTAAAAAACAAAACAAATGAGCAAACAAACAAAACTGAAATAGACTTATAAACACAGAGAACAGACCGGTGGTTACCAAAGGAGAGATAGATGAAAGGGAAAAAAATTAGTGAGAATGTTTGATATCTTGATCAGAGTGATGGTTACATAAGTGTATACACATGTTAAAATTCATGAACCTGTACAGTACAATTTGTGCATTTTACTGCATGTAGCCCCACCTCCCCACACACAAAGTACAGCTATCTTGTGTGAACTCTAGGAGTATGTTAAGCATTATGGAGTGAACACTGTAGAGGCCCAGTGTGTTCCCTTTCCCCTCCCCAAAAGCAGGAGTGGATATTGACACTTGTATGCTTTGCCCATGTGAGAGTGGCCAGGCTGCTCTTATCTTCTGCTCAGATGCCTGTCATTGCCCCCTATCCTTTATCTACTTTTCTCATTTTGCTTTTCTCCACAGTAATTGACATCATATAACATACTAGATGCATTATTTATTTCTTACATTTATTGCCTATTTCCCTTGAGTAGAATGTAATCTTCATGAAGGCAGAGATTTTTGTTTGTTTTTCACTGTTATATCTACAACATCTAGAATGGTGTCTGGCATGCAATAGTTTAACAAATATTTGTGAAACAAATATGGAGAAAATATTAAACCTCTAAATAGGACATTAAAGACTATCTGAATAACTCTAAAAACATTTCATGCTTTGAGTGGGACAGTTTAATATTATAAAGATGTGAATGACTCTACAAATTCAGTGCAAACCAAATCAAAATTTCAGCTGAACTTTTTGGAGAACTTAATAAAATTACCAAAAAATGTATATGGAATAAATCACTCCATAAATAGCTGACTATTTACAGACTGACTATAAACAAATATTAATAAGTAAATATAATAGAGTATCTGACCATTTCAATTATATATTTAATAACTTTAAAAAAGAAGATGGGTTTGTCCATCTTATTTGATATAGAACACATGACAAATGAAGACTAACAACAAGCCAAAACGATTTTTAAAAATAGAATAACAGAATTGCATGTGCACAAGCAAACAAATGAAGAGAGAGAAAAGAGTAGAGTTCAAAGACAGACTCATATATAGGGAAACAATGTACATTAAGGTTCCTACAATAAATGAGTAAAGACTGGCTTGTTAAATAAATGAACAACATGGAAAAAAATAACACAATCTTTATTTAACAACGTATACAAAAGTGAATGTCAGATGAACTAAAGAAATGACTGTGAGAGGTAAAAGTAGAAAATTTGATCATATTAAAAACAGAATATTTTATGACCTAGATGCAGGACTCTTTTTTTAGAAAGACAAAACTTCAAAAATTGTAGGACAAAAATGTGATGAGTTGGATTATATCAAAATGAAGGTTGTCTGTTCAACAAAGAACTCCATGAATAAAGTAACAGAGAGATGACAGATTGGAGGTATGTATTTGCAATGGCTACTTAACAGAAAAGGATTTTATCGATTAATATACACACTAACAAGGAAATGGCAGAAAACCCAAAGGAACAATGAGCAAAGAAAATGAACATGCAGTGTACAGCAGTAGAAACCCAAAAGGCTGACAATACGATTCTTCCAGAAAATATATATTGTGTAACCATAATGAGACAGACTCTCTTCTGGACATTGGATGTATGTAAGGGAACAGAACAAAGAGCCTTGCTCTCAAAGTGCTTTTATTCTGGGGCAGTGGCAGAGTGGGAGACAGACATTAAAAAATGAGTTAATTGCAAATACGTTAGAAAGGATAAGTCCTTTGGAAAAAATAAATAACAAGGTAAGAGGGAATAGGTGTAGGGGCAAGGGGAGAAGGTAGTTAGAAAAGAGTTATAATCCAGAATAAAGACTTTGGGGTTTATTCTGAGCAGTTGCAGAGTTACAAAGAGGAATGATATGTTTAGTTATGTTTTCAAAGGAGTCACACTCAGTGCTGGGACACAAAAGTAGAAGCAGAGAAATTGGTTGCAGGCTATTGTTATAACCCACCTGGGAGACAGAGGCTCACTCCATGGTGTGGGAGAGGGCAGGATGGGGTGGGATCCTGTTCTGTATATATTTTGAAAGTAGAGACAAGAGGATATTCTTGCAGATTTGAATCAGTTGTGAGAAAAAGAGAATGGCCTGATCATTGCCATGTGGGAGGTGCCACCAACTGTGGTGGGAAGGCCTAGATGGAGCGCAGTAGACTGGAGATAGATGGGAATCAGGAGCTCAGCAAATGAGCACATGTTCATATTGATTACTTATCAGAGTAATGAAAAGTAAAATGATTTCATATCTTTTAGCTTATAAAAATACTCAAAATATGCAGGCTGTGCATAGACAAGAATCCTCCTGCACAGAAGGAGATGTATAGGTTTATGAAGCCATTCTGGGGAGCATTATCCATAATCTAGCAACTTGGCCCCTGGGTATGTTCCCTAAATAAATTCTCACACAGGTCCTGAAGTGTGCATATGTTATGATGTCCATCGTAGGGCCCGAGGTGGCATTTGGGAGGTGGGGGCCATAACAAAGAGTGATGGCTACAATGTGTTGGGCACTATGGATTGCTATAAACAGTCAGAAGTGATGGATTAGCAGCACATATGGATTTTAAAGATAGTGTTGAGTGAAAAGAACTAAGACATAGTAGGAGTAGTTAACATAATATGTTTAAAAAAATACATAAATGTACTCCCCAACATAATTATATGTATTAAACCCATTAGAAGTTTGTCCACACAATAGGAAAAAATGAGAGAGAATTAATTGTTTTAATTAATAAAAAAGGCCTTATGCAGGCAATGTTTCATCTACTGAGTATTATTAACCAATTAACTCTGCACCTGAGATTTTAAAACCTTATTTACTATTATCTGAAATTCCAATATATATGATCTTTATATTTTTCACAAAAGGCAACTCCTAAAATAGTAAAGAAAGTTTCAATCCATAAGCTATTCAATCAGCAGGAATTTATAAGCTAAGGCACCTGGAATACAAATATGATCAAAGGAACAGTCCTGCTCTCAGGAAGGTTGAATACAACACTTTGCTCTTTCCAAGGCAGAAACTCAGATTTTCTTTTAAAAAGTGGGAGATCAAAACACCTTTACTTTTGAGATTTTACTCAGAAATCTTAGTACAATTATTCATGATGCTAATGGATGGGATTCAGAATATCCAGTGAAAGGCTGTATTTGTTACTAATTTTATTAGTACTTATTAGTAAGTTGTTAATATGTTGGATAAGTCTCAGATTTCATTTTCTCCATAGATGTGTATGACTTCTAAAAAAATAATTTTCCCTTTATAGAGATTTATCTGTCTTCTTCCAACGCTTGATAAACAACCAGTGTGCCTAAGTTTAGTAAGAGATCAGGAAGGGATGGAACTGCAGATGGAGCAGCAGACATGCCTGGCCACATTGTGTCTGCCTGTATAGAGTCTGCATTTTACTCTAAGCAGGATAAAGACGTGACCTGATTTATTTTCTAAGGTATTTTGCCCTCTGAAGGTCAAATGGCCCAGGCTACTCAAGTAAACTGTAGGGAAAAGAAAGAGTTGGAGGAGACCTATAGATTAAAGAGACTTCAAAGACGTAGCAAGTTGAAAAACATGGGCATAAGCAAAGCGCAGTGACTGAGGGATGCTCGCTTGGGTAATAAAGCCATAAAGAAAGACAAGGGAGTGATGACTACGAAGACCAGGCCAGCAGTTAGCTGTGGAAGAGACATTGTGATCAGGGTGGGGCTTGCACAGAGGTTTCTGCTGCCCCTGGCATCTCTGTTTTTTTGGCTCGAGTGGTCTGTGCAAGGTGTTTGTCTTACAATAACTCATTAAGCTATACTAAGCTTAGTGTGGCTTTGTCTCTGTTGTATTTTACAACATAAAGTACAAAAACAAGTAATTTTGAAAGAAAAGCTGTTGTGCAAAAAATTAAGTGTAGAAAGCAGAGGTAGAAACAGAGAGGCCAGTTGGATCCCATGTTTTGTTGATAAAGCAAATGGAATCTACTGAGGGACTAGGAGAAAGGAATCAAGAATTATTCTGAGTGCATATGGTTCCTTTTGCTAAGATAGTGAAGATGTGTGGGGCAAGAGGAAAAAAGTAGCCTGGGAGAAAAGAGGCGACTTAATTGTGAGAAACAAACTCTTAGGATACAAGCTAGCTAACCGATTGGGTATACGAGCTTGATGAGAAAGGTCTCGCCCGGCTTGGAGCTAAAAACACATATATGTAAGAGATAGACAGAGATGCAGAGACAGAGATAATCCACAGATAGATGCCATGGTTCTGGGGAAGCTGATGACCTGGAGTGGGCACAGAGCAGTGATCCATGACAGCTATGGCAGGAGGAAAGAAATTTGCATAAGTGTATATGGAGAGAAGGCTGCCTAACCGTTTGCCCTGTAATTGTGTCCTAAAGATTATTGTTAAAATTATGCTACTCTATACTACCACTCTATTAGGAATCTTACATAATTATCTATAATCCTCAAAATAATCATACATGCTGAATATTATTTCTTTTTATAGTTGAGGACACTGGAGCTCAGAGATACCAAGTACATTTCTTCAGTGCCATATTACTGGTGAAGGGTGGAGTCAAGATAGGAAGGGTGGCTGTTCTCACCCTGAAACTTTTCACTGTTCTCATGACATTTCCTGCAGAAATGTGCAGGAAGAACATGAAAGGGAAAGTGGGAATTTGAAGTCTGGGAGGACTGATTATCCAGCAAACGCCAGTTTGATAAGCGAAAAATTTTGTTTTGACCGTAGGGTATTGATACATGGTCCAAACGTGAGCTAATGTGGAGAGTCAGACTACAGAAACGTGCTGCCATGACGCGCCTGGTCAGCAAATCTGGGGAGCCCAGGGCACGCCAATCATTTCTTCCTTGTTTGGAATGTTGATCTTTGGTCTGCTAGCGGGAAGGAAAATTCTTCAAATCTTTACCTTTTTTCATTAAATTTTCTCAGCACTCTCCTTAGGGCACTCGCCACCTCTTTGTTCCTCAAGCTGTAGATTAAGGGGTTCAGCATGGGGGCCACCACAGCGTAGAACAGAGCGACCATCTTCTCCATCTTCTCCTGTTCTGTTGAGGGGCCGGCCGTGGGCCTCATGTACGTGAAGATGGCTGTTCCGAAGCACATAGAAACCACAGCGAGGTGGGAGGCACAGGTCCCAAAGGCTTTGCGGCGTCCCTGCGCAGAGCGAATGTGCAGGATGGCAGCGACTATACGGCCATAGGAGAATACGACCAGAAAACAGGGAAGCATGATGACCAGGAATCCTGAGATGGCCACCATGACCTTGTTGAAGGAGATGTCCACACAGGTCAGCCTCAGCACAGCCAGCATCTCACAGGCAAAGTGACTAATAACATGACGGCAAAACGGTAGCTGAAAGATGGTCGTTGTCTGCATCAGTGAATTCGTGAAACCAGCCACCAAGCAGCCGGCAGCCAGCCCCAGGCAGCGCCCTCCATGCATGATGACCGTGTAGTGAAGCGGGTGGCACACCGCCACGTAGCGGTCATAGGCCATGGCTCCCAGCAGGAAGAACTCTGAGCTGCCCAAAGCCAGGGACACGTAGAGCTGGCACACGCAGCTGTGGAATGGGATGGACTTCTGGGCTGACAGGAAGTGAACAAGCATCTGAGGGACAGTGCTGTTGGTATAACAGATGTCCACAAAGGACAGGACACTGAGGAAAAAGTACATGGGCGTATGGAGCCTGCTGTCCAGTCTGGTAAGGAGGATGATGAGGGAGTTCCCCAGCAGAGTCATCAGATACATGGCCAGGAAGAGGATGAAGAGGGAGGCCTGCGTCTCCCAGCAGCTGGACAGCCCCAGCAGCGTGAACTCACTCACCCATGTCTGGTTTTCCCTGCTCATGAGCCTCGGAGAACCAAATCCAAGTGGTACATCAATAAATACCAGATACTGAAGGAGGCAGAGGGTCTGATAAGGTCATTCAGACCAAACAGCCATCTAGCATTAAACTGTGTGGTTTCCCAGATACGCCTCCTTCAGAGTTTCGGACCACAGTAGAAACCACTGATGTGGCTCAGAGTCAAGGAGGAAACTCTTCTCTTCTTCATTGTATGGGAAAGGTTTTTACTGAAATGCTTAGACATTTGAGTCAAAAAGATTAAACATAAAACGTGACTCTCTTTTTTAGGGCAAATTCCTGATTACAGAGTTTATTTCTTTGCTGGATACCAGTTTTTTCCTCCCCACTATCTCAGAATCCATATTGAATGAAATCTAACTGGTAGGAAAAGTTGCTTTGTTAATTTACTCTTTTACTTTCGGAGTCTCTATAAAAATGAAATACTCACTTTTCATCCTTTTAAAATCAGAAATTTGGGGTCACAATGTCAAAATTACATTTCAGAGTCAGTGAAATAAAAACTGAAGACCTGGACGATCAGCCTCAGTTTTGAAGAATCTTCACCTGCTGTTCATCTGGGGGACACGGCAGGAGGAGAGATCTGCCCTGGGGTCTGCCTCCTCTTTGGAAGAAGCACAGAGCCTGGGTCAGCAACTGGGTATGACTGTCAGGGAACAGATCAAAGTCGAGATGCATTAACTATCTTCCCTAATAATTGATAAGAGCTTAACTACCTGCCACACAGATTAACCTATTAACTAAGAGATAATAGAAAACTGGTTCCACATTCCTGCTGATTCTACTTGTATCCTGAATAGTGACAGTTATGGTTTGGAGACTATATTGTGAAGAAAATAACCACATGGAATGAACTCAGTGAAATGACTGTCGGGCATCCCTTTCCTTTAACATCCCCTGACTTTTATCCTCATCAGAAGTATTTGACCATTTGCCCCCTTCAGGAACCTTTGTCTTCTCTCAACCTTGTGCTGTGCTTGCTTTTTTGAGACTTACACAAACTAGAAACTTAATACTGTAGTCTGCTCAGTAACACCTCCTAACTTTCTAATCCTGTAAATATATTAGTATTTCAGAAAGCTCAAGGGTTCTAGTATTAAAAAATCATCTTTGGAACTCTTACTAATCTTGTTTCACCTTATTCAAATCACAAGTGATTTCCAGAAACATCACAGACTAAATAAAGTCCACTCTTAATTTCATTCTAATTACTCTGCCCTTCAGGTACAGAAAGTGAAACTCATACACAGCTGTCCCAAAGAGATATTACCTGCTTGCTGTCTGTGATCAGACAGTGCCGTCGAATATGTGATGAAAGCATACTTTGTGTTGAAGGTACCATGACAGTAAGGGCAGTTACCTAAGATTAATAGGGTGCCAGAGACTCTTGGATTAGATACCAGGGTCTATGGGTATTTGTATATGATAATATTCCCTTTATCTATGAATAATCAAGCTTGATAAACCAGTCCCACACCAAGAGATGATTTATGTAAGTTACAATAAAGGGAGACCGAAAGTATAAAATGTTCTTAATTCTTTAGAATTTATTCTAGAGCTTCAAAAGGTTAGTAAGTCACCATGTAATATTTCTATCAAAGAAGAAGGAAACCTACCTTTTCATCCCTAATGAAAAAGGAAAAGTTGGAATACAAAAATACCATGGCCCAGATCCTCAGGTGCAAAAGAAAGACAAATGACAGGCATCAAAGGGGAAAAATCAGTGCCTGGGACCATCAGTGGAACTTGACCATCTTCAGATAATGTTACACTTATAAGCTAGTCCTAGCAAAGTGAATAGGGTTTCTCTTATTCTGCTATAATATATTAAACAATACACCAGTAGAGGGCTGAAAGAGAAAAACAAAGTACAGAGGGTAGGTGATGATTATTTAAGGTATTCTCAGTATTAAATTAGGAGAGTGGGGAAAAATCTGATGATAATCTCAGAGTTTTGAGGCTTTCACTTCTTAAAAACTAATAATAGTTAGTTAACAGCTCAACAAAAAAAATGTAGTAATCCCTGACCTTAGGTCAGTAAGTCCCCTTAAAGACCCCAGAAAGTATTCATTGCAAATAGAAACACCCATGATTAGCCTATCATGACTCTATCATCTGCATGTATTTCACACTGCCTCTCTCTGGGAGTGAATAAACTGCTTTATCAACTAACTTGCATTTCCAAGTTCAGCTCTCATTAACTAATTTCTTTTTCTGTCTAAAGGGAACAGACATTTAAATCTATCCTAATTCACTGGGAGGAGGGAAGTAGAGAGTATAATGGAGAAAGGATATAACACAAATAATAAAAAAGAATTACTTTAACAAAAAAGGGTTAAAAAGTAAAATATTTAAATATTTTTGGAATTTTGATGTGTAAATTAAAGTTTAAAACAGATTTTCCAAAGTAAGGTGAAGGTTCTAACAGATGATACCAGTGATTGAACAGCATTCCTGCACCACTGTTTCTTGCTGAAATCGTGATTCAAGCTTCCTAAAGCTACACATCATGAGTGTCCTTCTCAAAAAAGATGCCACCTAGAAAGCTTGAGATATCCCCAAACTGTTAATTGGATAAATTTCTCTCCCCATCCAATCTGCACTTCCTTACGCATGCCTACACTGCATGGAGTGACAGAAAGTATATAGCTGGATAAAGTCACCTTCTGACCACCATCCTTTAAGAATGAGCCAGTCAGCACTCTGGTCCGGATTTCCAAGGGTGGGCAGGGGCCAAGGGGGGCACCGTGGTGGAGGGAACATGACCTGTAGTGCCGAAGCTCAGTGATTCCTGTGAATGCAGGCAAAGCCCTGGGCCAAATGCTTCATTTCTCAGAAGTATACAAAAGAACTTTCTCCTCAGTTTGGCTACCCCAAATGTGTTTTCTGAAAACCAATTGCCAAAATGAGACATTTTTCTCTCCAGTAAGCAAACTCAATCCGCTTGCCACATGAGCCTGGGAAGAAGCTGTGTGTTAGGAGACCCTGGCTTCCCGACTCTCACTGCAGAGCCCCTGGGCATGACTGCCTCGGCTCCAGTTCAGGGGCCGGCACTGCCCCAGAGGAGGGGGGCTGGGCAAGCTGCCGGATCTGCAAGAAGTACATTTCTTTTCCCTCGGAGATAAAATCTCTACAGGCCAATTATACCGGGCGATTCAGCTTCTATCATTTCTTCACCTTCCCTGAGTGGTGGTTCCCTCACCTTAACTCTCATCTGCCATTAAAAGAATTTACAAATGAGAAGTTCATTTTTCCTGACCCAGCAACCTGAGAAGGAAATCCAAAGCCCTGGTTCCCCTAGAGATGTTCTCCTAAGTCGTTGTTGAAGTTTCACTTGGAGGAAGTTACAACATGCCCATGACTTTCTGTCCACATAGGCAGGATTGAGACTTCGACCCAAAGTGCGCAGTTGTTCATGGACCACCTGTGGGCCCTTTGAGCAGTTCTTCCCATAACTTGATTCTGGGCTACGCATAAGCTTTGATCACATATTCATTTCGCAAAGGATGTAACTATTTTGTAAGACTTTTCCCCATTTTGTCTCACCAGTGACAGGCTCATTTTAACTGGACATTGTGAAATTATTTAACTATTTTTGTATATAAATATCTGCTTTCATATTCTACAAATACTACAGAAATTAACTACCCACTGTAAGCATTTCAAATTATACATGTATTCTATTGATAGATACTTAGATTGTTTCTAGTTTGTGCTATTAAAAACAATACTGCTAAGAACGTTCACACACACATACTCACCTTTTGTCATACATATGTGTGCATATATATAATCACTGTTACCTAGTAATGGCACTGCTGCATCACAAATTATGTGCATGTCCAGCTTTAGCTAACATTGTCAAAACAATTGTTTCAGTTACATTCTCACCACCAGGTGTGGGGATTTCTTTTGATCCAGCGTTTTTCTATCCTTGAGTTGTCCATCTTGTTCATTTTAGCCATTCTGGTGAGGATAGAGGGGGTATCTCATTGTGATTACATTTACATTTCTCTGATGACTAATGAAGTTGTACATATTTAAAAATATTTAATGTACATTTGGATTATCCCATTTTCTGAGGAGCGTGTTCAATTTCTTGTCCACTTTTCTATTGGATTCTCTCTTTTTCTTGTTGATTTTAGTACTTTATATATTTTGAACATGCATCATTTATCATTTATTTGTCACAAGTATTTTCTCCCACATTGTGGCTTACTTTTTCATCCTCTTATGGTGTCACCAGTAAATTATTATGCAAAATATTATCCGTTATTTTGCATACAGTTACTGCCTTTTTGTGTCTTGAGTGAGATTTCTTTATCTATCCTAAACATATCTAATCTGTCTTTTGTATGATACAAAGTTATTCTTCAATGCTGTCTTCCAGGAGCTTTAATGTTTTACTTTTCACATTCAGATCAACATTGTGTCAGAAATTTATTTCTATGTATGATATGAGACAAGAGCCCGCATTCATTTTTTCCTATGTGGATATCCAATTGTATTGAGATATATCCAAATATAAAGCTAAAAAAACTTGGGGAGAAGTGACATTTCTGTGATGTTAAGGAACCAACCCATAAAAAACATATTCTTCCATTTATTTAATATCTGTCTATTTTTTTCTACGTAGAAGTGTTATTTCTCATTCGATATTTCTCCCCCAAGTCTGATGCTTTAAAATGCTGCTTCAAATAGTATCTTTTAAATTATATAAAAACATAATTGGCTTTTATACATTAAATCTGTATACATGAAATGACTTCTGTGGATGACTGGTGTCATTTCCTCCTCATATATTTCGTAGAATTCATAGGCTTTTCTTCCTGATTTCTAGATGTATGTGCCATACAATCATGTCTTTTTAATTCAAAAAACATGTAGATTAATGATTGTACATTGAGCATTGAGTCCCCTGTACAGAATTTTATTGTTGTTAACAACCATTTGATCAATAAATATGAGAGATGCTCTCTCAAAA